GAAGGAAGGTCAAGTTGAAAGATTAAAGGAAGTAGCTGATGAGGTAAAAGAGTCGGTAAGTTAAAGTGTTCAGAATCAGCTTTTAAAGAGATTTTCCCAGAAAATAGCGATACAGGGAACAGGAAATCCTGCTTTGTTACTTATTTAGAACCTAACTTAAATTTCTTTAAAAAATAAAAAAAAAATTCCAGGAAAAGAATTCTACAGACTGCTGACTAAAAATTCCAAACTCTTACCCTCTTATTGGTACATGTTGGTGTGCTTGATTTATGGATTCACAGAGAATGTTTAAGGAGTGTTGCAACTAATGACAGTTACAGTCCGCTGACAAGGAGGCCTTGTGGGGTGGGGCGGGGCAGAGCTGAGCCTTAGGACATTCCAGAAAGTCTTAAAGCATCTTGTCTTTCTCTGACAATTCATAATGATTAATGTTCACTCAAGTGTCTGAACAAAAAGAACTGAAATGCAATAAAAGTCTGTTATAGAGGATATTTTGGTATCAGAATTCCTAGCGTGCACACGTGTGTGTGTTTGTGTGTTGTGTGTGTGTGTGTGTGTGTGTGTGTTGTGCTTTGTTACTTCCTTGAGAAATATTGAAGGAAACTCCTCCTTCTTCCTGTACCTCAAGCTATGACTCATTAAATGTGGATCATAAAATTCATCTTAAGTGCACTTGAGACCTTGTTATTTCGTGTGTGTATGTATGTGTGTGTAATTTTTGTTTGTTTCTTTCATGAGAGAGAGAGGGGAAGTGGGATGAAAGCATCCCCAACAGGGTGAGATCTTGTTATCCACCCCCTATTCATGATAGCACACATGTGCACACTCATGGGAATAAGAGAAGACAGGAACAGAGATACTATCCACAGGACCTAGTCATTCTGCCCCTTCCTCCAAATCTTCCAGTCTATCAGACCTTGGGAATTCCTGCATGTACCTGGAGTTGTGAGACTCACCAGGCCAGGAATTCGAACTGTGATCACCACATGGAATATGGCTTCCCTTGGGCAGCAGCGCACTACTGCTGTACCAGGGAGCTCGCCTCAAATGTTGTTATTTTATTTATTTATTTTAATAATTTTTTCCCAGAGAGCATATGCACTTGCCAGTGAGAGGCAGAGAGAGAGGGGGAAAGCACTCCCCAGCGGGTTTTGGTCATGCTGCAGTCCCGTCTCCTGTGTTTCTCTTTTTTTTTTTTTTGGAGAGGTTTTTTGCTATAGGGCGCGTGCGCTCGCCAGACAGAGAGAGACATAGAGACAGAAAGCAAGAAATCACCCCCCAGGGGGGATGGTCACGCTGCAATCCCTTCTCCTCCATTCTCCTCTCGGGATCTTGGGCATGCACGCACATGTGCCCGGCGTGAGTTTTAAGCCACCGGGTCCAGGACGCGAACTGCGGTCGACCACGTGGGAGTCCAGCGACATAGCCATTACGCTAACTGCTGGTTCCCTGTTTCTTCATCCTATTGGGATTTGGGGCACACACGTGCATGTGTGTGCATGCTTCTGGCATGTTTTCCTACCACCGAGGCCAAGACTCAGGCTACATGATTGACCATGTGGGATCCAGCTCTCTTAGTCACCAGGCAATAGGGCCAGCCTGGTTTTTTTTTTTTTTTTTTTAAGAGATTTTTGCTATAAGGTGCGTGTGCTCGCCAGAAGGACAGGGAGAGACAGAGAGACAGAAAGCGAGAAATCACTCCCGAGGGGGGATGGCCATGCCATAATCCCTTCTCCTCCATTCTCTTCTTGGGATCTTGGGCACGCACGCACACACGCCCAATGTGAGCTTAAGCCACTGGGTCCAGGACTTGAACTGCGATTGACTACATGGGAGTTCAGCAACATAGCCATTATGCTAACTGCTGATCCCCAGTCTTCTTATTAATGTTTGGAGGTAAAAGGTAGTGAAAGTAATGCTTCGTGGGAAGAACTAGTAACCAGGTAAACCTGGGATCTCATTAAAAGCTCTCTCATCTCAGCCTCATTTCTTCTTAGAATCATAGTCAGTATAGCTTTGATTTCCAGAGACAAATTTCTCTCTTCCTGTTTTTCTTTAAGACCAATTGACTTTATTTATTTATTTATTTTGAGTGATTTTTTTTTTCCGAATAGGATGTGTGTGCTCGCAGGAGACAGAGAGACAGAGTGAGAAATCGCCCCCAAGGGGGGAATGGCCAAGCTGTAATCCCTTCTTCATTCTCCTTCAGGATTTTGAGCATGCACATGTATGTGCCCAGTGTGAGTTTCAAACTGCCGGGTCTGGGGCTCAAAGTTTAGTTGACCCCTTGCAGTTCAGCGCCTTAACCACTATACCACTTCCTGACCCCAAGACCAATTGGCTTTGAATAGTCACTTTTTTAGTACTAGAAAGAAAATAATTTAGAGTTTTGATACCCTCAAGGACAGGAGGCTTTTTTTTTTTTTAATGGCCGCTTTATTTTTTTAACCCAGGAGTTTAAATAAACAGCTAACAATAATAGGAAATTTTATGGGTGTAAAATCAAAGAAAGCCTCTGCCTTGCCAGGGTGTATGTTTTAGTTCTAAATGCCCTTACTCCCAGTAATACCCCCATGAGAAGGTTCCAGGTTTGAATCTGGAGACCTCCTTAAACACGCCAGGTGCATACGTGCCCATAATCTGAGGCTTAGGGATGGGTTGTATCATAGAGACCCTGTTTGGAGTACGTCTCTTTCTCTCTCTTGCTCTTGCTCATGGAAGAAAGAAACAAACTTAAAAATAGCTGAATAGGGGCCAGCAAGTGGTATGGTGGTAAAAGGCACTGGACTCCCACATGGCTCACCATGGTTCAAGTCCTAGACCTGGCAGCTTGCGTTTTCATTTTCCACCTCTCTGTCCCTCTCTGGTCAAATATAAATAAATAAATAAAGTTAAATAAAGTAATTCTTTTTTAAAAAATAGCTAAATAGGGGCCAGCAGGTGGTGTGGTGGTTAGGTGCTAGATTCCCACATGGCCAACCACAGTTTGAGTCCCAGACCTGGTGACTTGCTTTCTCCCTTTCCCTCTTTCTCTGTCTCTCTAGCCAGTGCACTTGCTAGTTACTAGCAAATTAAAAAATAATAATAAATAATGGGGCCAGCAGATGGCATAATGCTTATGTCACTGAACTCTTACGTAGTTGACTGTGGTTTGCGTCCCAGACCCGGCGGCTTAAAACTCATGCCGGTCTTTCCAACTTTGGCCGGACAGAATGGCTACTGCAAAGAAGGGTGGTGAGGAGAAGGCCGTTGTGCCATCAACGAGGTGGAGATGAGGTGGAGACTCGGGAATGCACCGTCAGCATTCACAAGCTCACCCATGGTGTGGAATTCAAGAAACCTGCCCCTTGGGCACTCAAAGAAAGCGGGAAACTTGTCATGAAGGAGATGGGGACCTCCTGCTGACCCCTCACTTTTCTATAAGTCCTTGAAATTTATGAATGGAAGGACCTGGTCTCTGCTTTCTGTGAATTTACAGTTCAGTAGAGGGATAGTTACACAACAGTTTCTTTTTCATGAGAGAGAAAGAAACAGGGACTCCAACACAGTCTGCCACACCATGATCCTCCCCCAAGCCTTCCAGTCAGCCAGGATCATGGGTGCACTATTGGGACATGTTCAGGTTCACCTAGGGTTGACCTAGGAACGAAACCCTGGATCTTCCCACATGGCCCTAGCATTGTGCAGTAGGGCCCCAACACCCATGCAGTGATAGGACCTGGTAAGCGTAACAGAATGTGACAGGCACTTTGGGAACAGAGGAAGGATTACCTCAGTGCATATAGGAGAGGTGGGTCAGACTTCATCCTGCTTACACTGAGTCTTAAAGGAACAGGGGGATGCTAGGCAGCAGAAAGACAGAGGCTAATCCAGGTGGAGGGAACCTCATTTACAACATCATAGACCTCAGTACAGTTTGCTTTTCTTGGAGCTTAAAGGATGAGGCAGAGAATATCAAGAGAGGAGGCTTTATACATAGGAACCAAGTCTAGAACAGCTCTTCTGTGACATACTCAGCCTTTGGATTTAATTCAAGGAGTGACTGGGAATTCTGAAAGAATTTTGAACGGAGGAACAAAATAGATTTTTTATTTTGGGATAATTACTTTAAACTATTTGGGATAAAGGCAGCATCATAGTGACTGGATTGGAAGATGAAGAAAAATCAAATGAAAAGATTATCCCACAGTCCAAGGAAAAGATGATGAAGATTGAGCCAAGGCAACAACTGCAGGAATGAAGTGGGGTGGAGGAAGGAGACATCAGATACTGCCATCAGGGTCACGTCTTGGTCATTTGGGATGTGAGGATTCCCCTTCAAGACTTTAAAGTATGAGGCTTGCTGGTTAAGCTGGTTAAGAAGTGACCATTAGTAGGGCAGGCAGGTTGGCATGGTGGTTAAGGAGGCTGGACTCCCACATGGCTGACCATGGTTCAAGTCCCAGACCTGGCAGCTTGCTTTCTTACTTTTCTTCTCTCTCACTGTCTCTCTCTAGTCAACATGAAAAAATAAATAAATAAATAAAATAATAAGAATAAATAAAATTAAATAAAAAAAATGCTTTAAAAAAAGAAGTGATCATTAGCAGAAAGCGTTACTCATACCGAGTTACTTGTTTTTCTCTGGGTACCCAGTGAATATGTAGTGCTTAGCATTTATATATTTTTTAATTCCTTATAAAAAACAAATGTAAAGGGGCCGGCTGGTGGCGTGGTGGTTGAGGGCGCTGGACTCCCACATGGCTGGCCGTGGGTCAAGTCCTGGAGCTGGTGGCTGGGCTTGTTTTCTTTCTCTCTCTCTCACCCTGTCCCTCTGTGGTCAAATTAAGAAATATAAATAAGTAAATAAAGTTAAATAAAATAAATCTTTAAAAAAATGTAAAAATATCTCCTCTCCTAGATTTTATTTATAAAGGAGCTGTCCCAACCTCCTTTTTGACCATCATATCAAGATTTCCTCTCTTCTGTGCAAAGCTTATTGTGGGTTGTTTTTCAAACAGATTCTTCGGACCCAAAGCCGAAGTGCAGGTGGAAGGAGGATCTCTGAAAATAGCTCTTCTGTGGATGACTTGGAAATAGGCCCAGGTAAGCAGAGTTCCACATATACCAGATTCTCTAGGAGGTACTCATTGGTAACAATATTTTTTGGACTCAAAACCAATGCTTTTAAGAAAAAATGACCTAAATAAGTTAAATAAAAAAAAAATACATATATATATATATATATAGCATTTGACCAACTTGACCAACTGCAGTTCAAGTCCAGACTCTCCCACATGGCTGACCACTGTTTGAGTCCCGGACCTGGTGGCTTGCTTTCTCACTTTCTCTCTCTCTCTCTCGCTCTCTCTGACTGATCAACCTGGAAAATAATAATAGTAAGTAAAGCTAAATAAAATAATTTTTAAAAAAAGAGTGACCTGGGCCGGCAGGTGGTGTGGTGGGTAAGGCAGCTGGACTCTAACATGGCTGACCACGGTTCAAGTTCTGGACCTGGCAGCTTACTTTCTCACTTTCCTTCTCTCTCTGGCCAACTTCAGAAAGATTTAAAACAAACAAACAAAAAAAGACAATAAATAAAGGTAAAAATAATTCTTTAAAAAAATAAAAAAGAAAGAGTTATCCAGGGCTAGCAGGTGGCATGGTGGTTAAGGCACTGGATTCCCACATGACTGACCACAGTTTGCATCCCAGACTTGGAGGCTTGAAAATCATGCTGGACACATCCGCATGCATGTCCCAAATCCCAGAAATGGAGGAGAAGGGATTACAGCATGGCCTTCTCCCTTGGAAGGGTGACTTGTCCTCTCTCTCTTTCTCTCCAGTGAGTGCACATGCTCTATGAAAAAAGCCTAGGGGGGAAAAAAAGAAAAGTGACACAATAGGAAATGTGACCATTAGATTCAAGCCATTCACAAATCTCAGTGTTCTGTATAAATATCTTTTCTTATATTTTCATTCTGTCTTTGTCAGTGGTAACCCATGGGTCCCTTCCCTTTGAGGGTTTATAAGGGAAGTGCTACAGATGACTCCATAGTCATCTAGGACTTTAGAGCTTCAGTAGATGGACTATCCATATCATCCATCAAGACTGGCTATCTGTTATTGGTTGCATTTAAGCCTTGAAAGTGGAATTATTATGTTTGAATGGAGACATACACAGTGACTTCACAAAAGAGAAAATTAATAAATATAGGAAAATCATCAGCCTCCTCATAATCAAAAAAATGCAAATTAAAATAGCATTGAAATTAATTTTTTTCACATGTTAAAATAGCCAAGGATTAGGACCAGTAGGTGGCATGTTGGTTTAGGTGCTAGACTCCCACATGGCCAAGTGGTTCGAGTCCCAGACCTGGAGGCTTGCTTTCTTACTTTCTCTCTCTCTCTGGTGCGTGCAAGTGCCCTATAGCAAATTAAAAATAATAATGATAATAAATAAAATTAAATAAATTTAAAAAAATTAGAGTAGAGGGGATGGCAGGTAGCATGGTGATTAATGGCAGTGGACTCCCACATGACCAACTGCAGTTTAAGTCCTGGACCTGGTGCCTTGCTTTCTCTCTCTCTCTCTCTCTCTCTGTCCCTCTCTGGTCAAATTAAAATAAATAAATAAAGTTAAATGAAATAATTCTTTTATTTTTTAAACTTATTTTCAAGAGGTTTTTGCTATAGGGCGCGTGTGCTTGCCAGACAGACAGAAAGAGAGAGAGAGAGAGAGAGAGCCAGAAAGCGAGAAATCACCCCCCAGGGGGGATGGCCAGCTGCAATCCCTTCTCCTCCATTCTCCTCTCGGGATCTTGGGCACGCATGCACACGCACCTGACGTGAATTTTAAGCCACCGGGTCCAGGACATGAACCACAGTTGACTACATGGGAGTCCAGCAACATAGCCATTACGCTAACTGCTGGTCCCAATAATTCTTTTTTTTTTTTAAAGAATTATTTAACTTTTAAAATTTATTATTATTATTTTTTAACATTTCCAGGAAAAAAAGAGAGAGAGGAAAAGTAAGAAAGCAAGCCTCCATGTCTGGAACTCAAACCATGGCCGGCCATGTGGAAGTCCAGTGCTCTTAACCACCACACTACCTGCCAGCCCCTGAAATGAAATAATTCTTTAAAAAAAACAATTAGGGTAGAATTGGGCCAATGGATGGTGTGGTAGTTAAGGTGTTGGACTCACCCTTGGCCAAACTCCAGACCTGGTGGCTTGAAAATCATGCCAGACACATATCCCTGTGTGCCCAAAATCCCAAAAAGAAGATGGAGTAGAAGGGATCATGGTGTGGCCATTCCCTCAGGAGGTAATTTCACCCTTCCCCCGCACTCTATCTGTGGCTCCCTCCAGCAAGCACATGTGTATCTTGTGATAAAAAACTAAAAAAAAGGGAACCAACAGTTAGTGTAATGGCTATGTCGCTGGACTCCCACGTAGTCGACCGCAGTTCACGTCCCGGACCCAGTGGCTTAAAACTCACGCTGGGCTCGTGTGCGTGCCTGCCCAGGATCCCGAGAGGAGAATGGAGGAGAAGGATTGTGGCGTGGCCATCCCCCCTGGGGGGGATTTCTCACTTTCTGTCTCTCTGTCTCTGGCTATCTGTCTGTCTGGCAAGTGCATGCGCCCGGTAGCGAAAACCTCTCCAAAAAAAAAAAAAAAAAAACTAAAAAAAAAAATTTAGTCAAGAATTTAAAATATACAATACTAAATAAAAAAGATCTCCTTTTTAATATTAGGAAAGTGATATAAATTACGATTTTGTTCCTGATATCCTTCTTCGTACTTTTAATAGAAAAACATAGGCTATTAGAGTCCAGTAGTTCAAAACTCCGAATCTTGAAACCATTTGAATCCCATTTCATTTTCTAATAAAGCATTTGAATCCCCTTTCATCTTCTAATAGAGCATGTTATTTGTGTGCTTCCAGGTCAGTTGTCATCTTCTGCATCCAACTCGGAGAAAAATGAGAACAGACGAAACCTGGAACTTCCGCGCCTCTCAGAAACTTCCATAAAGGATCGAATGGCGAAGTACCAGGCAGCTGTGTCCAAACAGAGCAGCTCAGCCACCTATACAGTACGTGCTCCGCATCACTCATTCAGTTACTCGGCTAGCAGACTGTCACGGACGAGGACGTGTCTCCCAGGCCCGTACCTCTGCCATCCGGACCTTTCCCTGGCCCTTTTTTCACGTAAACCCTATCCTTGCTTCTTTTGTAATCTTTATCTGATTCTGGTCTTGACTTTGCTTTCCTCGGTCTCATTTTCATTTTTTTGTAATGTTACCAGTCAGTAACGTCATTGAGAGTTTTCTTGGGTCTTTTTGTTGTTGTTAAATGTTATTTTGTTTGTTTTAACGGAGACCCTTATTTAGATTTCTGAGGTAAAAAGGGAGAATATTGGGGAGAAATATCAGATGCACTCAATGTTACTGTAGGGCTTTTTTTTTTTTTCAAATTTAAAAATTGAGGTGTCGAGGTCAGCAGGTGCTGTGGTGGTTAAGAGCACTGGACTCCCACATGCCTGACTGTGTGGTTTTTGAGTCCTGAACCTGGTGGCTTGCTTTCTCATTTTCCCTCTCTCTCTCTCACTCTGTCCCTCTTGGTCAAAATTAAAAATAAATAAATAAAGTTAAATAAAATAATTCTTTAAAGAAAAAAAAATTGAGGTATTGAGGCCAGGTGGCCTCAATAAGCACTGGACTTCCATACGGCCAACCATAGTTCAAGTCCTGGACCTGGAGGCTTGCTTTCTCAGTCCCTCGTTCGTTCTTTTTTTTTTTCTTTTTTTTTTTTTTTTAGAGAGAGAGGTGTTTGCTATAGGGCACGTGTGCTCTCTGGGAAGACAGAGAGAAACAGAGAGACAAAAAGCAAGAAATCACCCTCCTAGGCGGATGGCCATGCTGCAGTCCCCTATCTTCCACTCTCCTCTTGGGATCTTGGGCACGCATGCACATGTGCCGGGCGTGAGTTTAAGCCACCAGGTCCAGGACTTGAACCACTGTCAACTGTGTGGGAGTCCAGCAACATAACCCTTATACCATCTGCTGGCCCTCCCCTCTCTTTCTTTCTCTCTCTCTCTCTGTCTGTTCCTGTCTTTCTCTGGTGAGTGTGCGTGTCCTGTAGCAAAACTAATAATAATGATGATCTTTTAAAAAATTGAGGTATCAGGGCCAGCTGGTGCCACGGTAATTATAAGACAGCTGGATCCCACATAGACAACTGTGTAATTCAAGTCCTGGACCCTGAAGCTTGAAAAAACATGCAAGGTAGGGACCAGCAGTTGGTATAATGGCTGTGTCGCTGGACTCCTATGTAGTTGACCACAGTTTGAGTCCCGGATCTGGTGGCTTAAACTCACGCCGGGTGTGTGTGCGTGCCCAAGATCCCGAGAGGAGAATGGAGGAGAAGGGATTGCGGTGTGGCCATCCACCCTGGGGGGGTGATTTCTCGCTTTCTGTCTCTCTGTCTCTCTCTGTCTTTCTGATGAGTGCACACGCCCTATAGCAAAAACCTCTCCCCCAACAAAAAAAAAAAGGAAAAAATATGCCGGGCATGGCCATCCCTCCCCCATAGGGTGATTTCTTACTTTCTCTCTCTCTCTCTGGTGAGTGCATGCAGCCTATAGCAAAATGGAGAAAGAAAATACAAACATACCAGGCATGTGTGAGCATGCATGCCCAAAGTCCTAAGAGGAGAATGGATAGGGTATTGTGGTGTGGCCATCCCCTCTGAGGGTTGCTTTCTTACTTTCCCTCTCTATCTCCATCTTTCTCTCTCTCTCATGAGCAAATAAATAAATAAATAAATAGTAAATTGAGATATCATTCACCATTTTTCTTTTCTTTTTTTGCCATAGGGCACATGTACTCTCCAGAAAAAGAGAGGCAGAAAAAGAGGGAAAGTGAAATATCACTCCCCAGGGGAATGGCTGCACTACAATCCTTTCTCCTCTATTCTCCCCTTTGGATTTTGGGCATGCTTGCAAATCGTGTTATTCAAGCCACCAGTTCTAGGATTTGAACTCAAAGTCAACCTTACAGGATCCAGTGCCTTTACCATCATGCCACCTGGTTGGGCCACTATTTTAAAGTATACAGTTATGTGATTTTTTTTTTTTTTTTTTTTAGTTTACTCACATGGTTGTGCAACCATCCCCACTGTCTAATTTCAGAACTTTTCCACCCCCCCTCCAAAAAAAACTCCATTTCTGTTCAGTCACTCCCAATTACCCTCTCTTCTCATCCCCTCGAAACTACCAATCTGCTTTATGTCTTTATGGATCTGCCCATTCTGTACATTCATTATAAAATAATCAGATAATATATGGTCTATTTAATCTTTAATCCTTATGACGAAACGATTCTCTAATGATGTAAAACAGCGAATTAAGAAAAAGGGGAGAAATGACAAGATGATATGTTCAAAAAGCACTAAAGTTTGAAATTCCAAGTAGAATGGAGAGTCTTTGCATTTTCCATTCATTTTCCTGTGCTTAACCGACAAGGGCTGGGACTATGGAACTGCTTTAAAAGCTGTTCGTTCATATGTAAACACATATATGTGCATGTACATGTGTATCTTTCAAACATTTTATTCCGAGAGTTTACATTACAAACTGTTACTCTCTTACCGTCCCAATTATTTTTGAACAAGGTTAGAAGAATAGTATTGGATTTCGTTTGTAGGCGGGTTGAAACTGCTGCATTTCTGAAATCATAACATGTATCTCAGGAGTTAAGCATTCTTTTCTTCATATAACTAAGTATGCATTCTCCAGTAGTATTGGAGACTCTTTTCTGGGCAAAGAATCATTTTTTTATTGTATTTTTAAGAAGAAGCAAAGTGCATAAATCAGTAGCAGAGTGGACTCTCACAGGCTCAGTCTCCACTATGAGTGTGAAAAATGAGCAAATACAGATTTCTCTTAGAAGGAAGTCAGGAGATAACAGCAAGTAGGTGATCTGCAAAGCTTCGTTTCCTCTTGTCACAGGGTTTGCTGCTTCTCAGAGTCCTGCTGCTGCTAACATTCCAACCAGGTGACTCCTCTCCGTGGGAAAACCTGTTCAGTGACTTTTTTCTTCTTTTTTCTAAATTTCTAAGAGTTTCTGCATTGCAGTCCTCCTGCTCTGAAGATTTTAAGAGTTGAAAAGTCTTCAGGAATTCTTGTAAAAAGTACATTTTATCTCATTCCCAAAGAATTTCTCAGACCCCTTACAGACTGTGGTTGCAACAAGGCACATGGTCTCTGACACTGATTTTGGAGGCTGGGCTTTGAGGTGGGGTCAGGACTAAGTTGTGGGCTATAGTGTTTTGCAGCACAGCTCCCACCCTCTCGTGAATGCACCTCTGGAGCCGTGTGCCTTAAACTGGAATACTACACCTGAGTATATCATGTGCACTGACATTCCCTTTAGGGCACTGGCCATAAACTGCTTGCTTCTTCCCTTGCCTAAAGAATCAGAAATAGGTCAGCAGGTGGTGTGGTGGTTAAGGTGGCTGGATCCCACAAGGCCAACTGTGTGGTTGGAGTATTGGACCCAGTGGCTCAAAAAACTCACCCGGTATACATGCGTGCATGCCCAAAATCCCCGAAGGAGGGAGAAATGGAGGAAAAAGGATTGTGGCATGAACACACCCCATGAGGGGACCTGATCATTTCCTCCCTCCCTCTGCCTCTCCCTCTCCCTTCCTCCTTCCCTCTCTCTCCTCCCGCCCCCTGTCTCTCTCCAGCAAGCACACGTGCCTCCTGGCAAATTAAAAACAAAAACAAGGGGACCAGCAGGTGGCTTGGTGGTTGAGGCACTGGACACTCCCACATGGTTGACCACAGTTCAAGTCCTGGACCTGGTGGTTTGCTTTCTCACTTTCCCTCTTTCTCTTTCTATCTCTGTCTCTCTCTAGTCAAATTAAAATCAAATGAATAAGGGACCAGCAGATGGCTAATGGCTATGCCACTGGACTCCAATGTAGTCGAATGTGGTTTGAGTCCCGGACCTGGTGACTTAAACTCATGCCGGGCACATGTGTGTGTGTGCCCAAGATCCTGAGAGGAGAATGGAGGAGAAGGGATTGTGGCATGGCCATCCCCACCATGGGGTGATTTCTCACTTTCTGTCTCTCTGTCTCTCCTGTCTTTCTGACGAGCGCACACACCCTGTAGCAAAAACCTCTCAAAAAAATTAAATTAAAAAATATAATAAAATGAATGAATGAATAAAAGTAAATGAATAATTATTAAAAAAAAAAAAAGAAAAGGAATCAAGAAAGATCACCCCATAGCCTAGTGGTTAAAGGAGCCAGATTCCATTTTGCTGACTTTGGTTTGAATCCTGACTTCAGTGGCTTCGTAGATGTGTGTGTGTGTCCAAAATTCCAACAGGATAGAGAAATGGAGGGAAAGGAATTGGGATATGACCATGCCCAGGGTGCTTTCTCTCTCTCTCTCTTTCC